CAAGACTGTGACCAAAGCCGAAAATTTTTAAGCATTTAAACATAAAATTCCATTCAAGGCTGTCGAATGCTTTTTCAAAATCTATGAATAATAATATACCCGGAATATCGAATGTTTTAGTGTATTCCATGACATCTAGAATTGATCTAGCTGCTTCCCCTATGTATCGACCTCAAACATATCCAGTCTGATTGCTGTGGATTATCTCTGGTAAAATTTCAGTAATTCGTGTTGCTATTACTTTGGATGCAATTTTAGTGTCAACATTAGCGAGAGAAATCGGTCTCCAATTTTCAAGATGGGTTCTGTTGTTAGTGGGTAGAATGTTATGTATCACCTTATATTGAAAACACCTAAGTTTATTTTCCATTGTGACCTTGAAGGGTAATTCAAAGATAGCTTTAACCGGGAGATTTTGTTCAACTAGAGTCGTTTCTACGTTCGGGGGTTTAAGCATTTCCAGCACAAGCGTTTTATGAGCAATTTTGGCAGTGACGTTCGCAGAAGTGAGGTGGTGTTCGTCACTATTATTGAGAATTTCTTTCGTCTGAATTGAGAATTGACATTTCGCATGCGTCAGGGATCGCGGGAAGGAGACCATTATACGTTAGAAAGTCCAGTGACAAACCGTATTTTTGTTGAAACTCGGATCTTAATAAAAAGTTTCTGCTGTCGTTTAAAAGATGGTGAATTTTAATAACCCCTTTTTTATACCATGATGAGTAAAACATTGTTTCCCATCTATTCTTATAAAACAGTTGTACCAAATAGTTTCACTCTGGTAGTTCTTAACTGTGGAGGGGTTCTTAGAGTGTAACTCCTGCTGATATATCTCTGTAAAACTTTGGCACATGTGACGCAAAATTTAAATCGCGTGTATCAAAATTACAATCGAAGATATCTCGTCCCCCATACTGAGATGTAACCGAGGAGAAGAGAGAGCACCATTTACTACCATCTGCTTAACATAAACGTTTAACCCACGCTGCTTTAAGGGACTTAACCATCATGTTGAAGTCAACCATATTAAAACCACCCTTATCCACAGGACCTATGATCGTGTGACATTTTACCTTGTCTAGCTTAAAGTTTCAAATAAATTTGAAGCAAATATCGTTGACTTTCAGCGAAGTTCGTAGGCACTGTAAGAACAGACGTATTGTAAACTAGCTTAGCAATGGCGAGCGTCTTATCAATACAAATCCTTCCTATGAGAGTTAAATTCCTGGTCGTCAAGACTTTCCTGGCGTCACAAGCTTTTCTTCAAAATTAATTCTATAACTAGTGGTGGAGTCATAGGCGAACGCGATACCTAGCGCAAATGCATATTCTTCTGGCCACGCAATGTGAAATGGAGCGAGTTTAGCTAAGTGGCATTTTAGGCTTTCAAACCACATTCCTTCCGTTTTTGAGATATTTATTTTCAGACCTGAAAAGGCTCCAAAATCATTTATGAGCTGGAATAAGTGGTTGGCAGAGCACTCATCCTTTATAAACGATGTAAGGTCGTCTGCATACATACTTAGTTTTAATTCAGTCTCGTTAAATTTCAAACCACGGATGTTGCCATTTTGTCTGATCGCTTGAGCAAGTACCTCTATTGCCAACACAAAAAGAAGCCCCGACAAGGGGCAACCCTGTCGAACGCCTCTATAGAGCTGAAAAAAGTCTGACGCGTAACCATTGCTCATGGAACTAACATCTTACATCGCTGCCCCGTGACCGGCTCTGCCTCCTTCAGACTCTTAAAGGCTGTCTCTGTAAAAACCGACCACTGATTTTACTGCGAAAATTCGATTTTTCTCGTAAGCTGGGATTTCGAAGCCCTTACCTAGTCAATCACTAAAATGAGTGTTATTTGATTAAAAGTTCTAATTGAAGTTTTCTAGGATTGATTAAAGTTCGGTCCGCTCGACCCAAGTTGCATGCCTGCCGAAACTGGAAAAATAGCACATATTGCCGGCGCTCNGAGTTTTATTTGATTAAAAATTCTAATTGAACTTTTCTAGGATTGATTAAAGTTCGGTCCGCTCGACCCAAGTTGCATGCCTGCCGAAACTGGAAAAATAGCACATATTGCCGGCGCTCTTAAAAAAATAACATTCGCTCAAAAGTCCCAATTTCTTCTTTTCAACTATAGATACATCATAGCAGTTTGTTTAGCCATGTTGCAATTATAATTCAATGTTGTTCCTTCAACGGTTAAAAGAATATTTTCTACCCGTTAAATCGGCGTTTTAGTTTTCAATCTACCCGTGAGTATAACGGGAATCAATGATGTGATACTCATGGGAAGATTGGGAACTAAAACACCCGTTGGAAACACAAAATGGCAGTGGCATTTATCAATCCTTCCTTGGCTCCCCGGATTACCATTTATTGTTCATACATGTATGTGTGCCGAGAGTGGTCTAAAAGAGTCCTTCTACAAACCTTTTAAGAGGAGTCTACATGATTAAACCGGCTTCGAGGAAAACAATAGTCAGTAATACAAAGAACATCGAAGTATGTGACCG